AATCCCACAGAGGCCACATAGAGGACTAGGAAATAAAGGCTGTCCAAACCAGGATCCCAGAAAACATACCTGGTAACAGTTGTCACATTTGGGAAGGTGACTCCAGGGTCAGGAGAAGAGACACCAGCTGTGTTCTTGGGGAAGGCTTGGGTCACAGTCCTGTCTCTCGGCAGGTGTTTTGTGGTAATAAGGATGGGAGCTTTAGTTGGGCTTGTAGTAGGAGTGATGCTTAGGGTGGGCAGACCTGAGGAATCTGCAAAAGACACAAGCATTAGATACATGAATGAATGGGCATAGAATGGACAGGTGGTTGTATATATGTATGTATGGATGGATGAGGAGGTGAATAGAAATGAAGCTGAGAAGAATGAACATGGCCATTCAAAAAGCAAGGTTTTCTTTTACTAAAATTGAAAGATATAGTGTAAAGTCAGCCTGAATCAGAGAGAGAGAAATGAACAGAGAAAGGAGGGAGGCTGGAACGAGTCGTGAAGAAGACTTCTTGGGCTGTCTGAGTTACGGAAATGTTCTCGTCTGCTGTTGTTCACCTCTCCAGCTGCCCCGTTCACCCCCTCACACCGTTCTCTCTGCCTCCATAAATCACATCCTCTAAAACTTGTCTTCACTGGTGTATTACATCCTCTTGGACTTGGCACGGACTCCCCTAGTTCTAGGAAGGGAGGCCTGTTTCTCTTTCCTCTGCCATCCTTGATCCACCACTGTCACTCGCTAGGGATGTAGAGCCCAGCACGGCACCAGCTCTTCCTCAGTGAGTTCAGAGATTCATAGGGGGAATTGTAAGTACACTGGTCACCACTGAAGTGAACCGAGACACTTGTTCCTCCTAGGCAAGTGTCACTTCAGGTCTCCTGAGACACAGGGTCTGATTTGAAATAAGGACTTCAGGTGGTTCATGCCCACAGCAAGTCTGAGATACAGTTTAGAAGGCCATGGCGGCCACCAATGGCATCTTGGGAGAAGAAGAGTAGATTACAAGAGCTTCCTAAGGACATGACTTCTACGTAGAGATTTGGGAAATGGAACCCACTTATATTCCAAGCCTACTGCTCATCTTTCACTGAACCCTGCTACCCAAGGGGAATTCATGTATAGGAGTGCCTACTTGCCATTGGCCTGCAATGGACCTCAGATGAAGATTCTGAGAGAAGTCAGGCTACTAGAAACCCTGGGCTCCAGTGCATCCTCACCTGACCTAGCTCTCTCTACCCTCTTAGAGCTTGAGCTCTATAAGAAATGGTTCTCCTAAAACTTAGATGAGTTGTGTCTTGGTTTGTTTTTTTAACTGCAAGAGCCACATGACATGTGGTCCATGGAAGACAAACTTTGGAAATGATCCTGTGTTTGTGTGTAGACATCGCCATGTGAATATGGATACACACGTGTGTAAGGGTTTACATGCATGTGGAGACTAGAGGTCAGCCTCACGTGTCATTCTTCAGGATACCTTACTTTTTTGAGGCAGAGTTTCTCACTTGTTATTTGAAATGCACTGCTTTGCCTAGGCTGACTGACCAGTGAGCCCCAGGCATCCACCAGTCTCCACTTCCATTATTAGTGTAGCCCACCATGATAGGCTTTTTTTTAAAATGTGGGTACTGAGAACAGAACTCAGGATAGAACTCATGCATGCATGTCAAGCACTGTACCGCTCAGCCATCTCCCCAGCCCTACATGTCCTGCATTTGAATGTGTGACACACTTTTGACATCTGTCTTAGGATTTTCATTGCTGTGAAGAGACACCATGACCCCGACAACTCTTTTTTTTTTTTTTTAAACAAATCTTTTTTTTTTTTTTTTTAATTTATTATATATACAATGTAATGTCTGCACGTATCCTTGCAGGCCAGAAGAGCGCACTAGATCTCATTACAGATGGTTGTGAGCCACCACGTGGTTGCTGGGAATTGAACTCAGGACCTCTGGAAGAACAGCCAGTGCTCTTAACCTCTGAGCCATCTCTCCAGCCCCGGACAACTCTTATAAAGGAAAACATTTAATTGGGGCTGGCTTACAGTTCAGTTTAGTCTATTATTGTTATTGGGGAAGCATGGGGTTATGCAGGCAGACATGGTGCTGGAGAGGTAGCTGAGACTTCTACATCTGGATCCACAGGCAGTAGGAAGAAAGAAAGAGATGGGGTTGGGAGGGAGACATACAAGCCTTGCTTAAGCATTTAAAAACCTCAATTCCCACCTTCAGTGACACACTTCCTCCAACAAGGCCACACTCCCTAATAGTGCCACTTTCTATGATCCTATGGTGGCCATTTTCTTTCAAACCACCACGTTCCACTTCCTGGCCCCCAGTGGCTCGTAGCCATATCATGATGCAGAAATGCGTTCAGTCCAATTTCAAAAGTCCCATAGCCTATCAGTCTCAACTGATCTTTTATCTGTTTAAAAGTCCAAAGCCCAAAATTTCTTTAGAGACTTATGACAATCTCTTAACTGTAACCCTTGTAAAATAAAAATAAAAAGCATATCATATATTTCTAACATACAATGATATAGAACATACATTACCGGCCCAAAAGAGAGAAAAGGGAGCATAGTGAGAAAATACTGGAGCAAAGATACACCAAAAACTATCTGGGCAAACTCCAAATTCTGCATCACTATGTCCAAGCTCCCTTCAGATCTCCAACTCCTTTCAGCTTTGTTGACTGCAGCACACTTCTTTCCCTTGGGCTGGTTCCACTCCCTGTTAGCAGCTTTCCTTGGCAGATATCCCATGACTCTGGTATCTCAAACATCTTGGAGTATTCAACAAAATCTAGGCTTTACTTTCACAGCTTTATGTAATGGCCTCCCCAGGCCTCCATGCAGGGACACCCCTGACACATTGGCC